AAAAAAAAAAGAAAACTAAGCACCAGTTTTCCAGTTGGTAAAAAATTTACACTAATTAATGTTGTTGTTGTTGACTGATATCGAGCTGACCACAACTCATAGCTACTCTATGAACAAAAAGCCTTAAGCCCTTCCATAACCATCACCATTTATAAAAGTTCACAGAGTTTCCAGAGGGATGCTGTTTATGAAGTGCTTCCAAACCTGTCTTAAACTGGGAGCTCCAAACACTGTTCACCATGGGTCACCGTTATGACATTTGACACCCGAATGGCATAAGGTTCAGCATCACAGCAACCCCAGGTTACCTCAGTACAGCATATTGACAGAAGAGTGCTGTACCACTTAGAAGAATGTTCCTCCAAAATATAGTAACAATTGACTTTTACATACTAATGCCCTCCCTGAGGTCTAGTTGACTCTAAACATGAGACATAAAAAACAAACCATATAGTATATTTTGATTGTTATGAGCCATTGAGTTGCCTGTGACATATAGTGACCCTATGAACAGTAGCTCTGAATCCTTTTCTATCCTGATCCAGTCTCACTAATTTTGACACACCAACCCTCATTGCCCCAAATACTGTATCAATCCATCTCATCCAGGGCCTTCCTCTCCTGTGTTTTCCCTCTACCCTTCTGAGCATGATGTTCTTCGCCAGAGACCAGTTTCCCCTGGCCACATGCCCAAAGTATGTGAGACAGAGCTTCAAAATCCAAGCCTTCAGGGAGAGAATTGATTTCACCCTCTCCAAGACAGACTGATTTGTTTTCCAGGCAGTCCATGGTGTGTTCAAGACTCTTCTCCAGCACCACAACTCAAAAGCATCGATTCATCTTCTGTTATCCTGAATCACTGTCCAACTCTCGGAAACATAACAAGTAATTGAGAAGACCATGGCCTGAATTGGGCCCATCTTTTTCTTTAGACTGGCATTGCTGGTTTCCGGCACTCTGGAGAGGTCCATGATAGTAGATTTTCCCAATGCAACTGTGGAAGCCAAGGAAGTTGTAGTTGCTAACAATCTCAATCTCTTCTCCATCTATCATGGTACTGTCAATCGGCCCAGTGGTGAGAATCTTTGTCTTCTTAATGTTGAGCTTCACTCCATTTTGAAGAGTACAGTCTTTGACCTTCTGCAGCAAGTGCTTCAGGTCTTCTTCCGTTTCAGCAAACAAAGTTGTGTCGTTTGCATATCGCAAGTTGTTGATGAGTTTTCCTCCAATCCCGATGCCACACTCCTCCTCATAAAGCCCTGCTTCCTGAATGATCTGTTCTGCATATAGATTGCAAAGGTATGGAGACAGGATGCATCCCTGGTACTCTTTTTTCCTGATTGTCAACCATGCAGCATTTCCTTGCTCTGTTCTGAGTACTGTGCCTTGGTCCAAGCACAAGTTTCTCATAAGCACAATTAAATGTTCTGGGATTTCCATTTTCCTCAAAGCTAGCCACAATTTGTTGTGATCCACACATAGTCAATGAAACACAGAAAGACATTCTTCTGGTACTATCTGATTTTCCTCCAGGATCCATCTGACACTGGCAATAATGTCTCTAGTGCCAAGACCTCTTCTAAATCCAGCTTTTCTTTCTGGTAGTTCTCTGTCAGTGTACTGTTCCAGTCATTTCTAATAATCTTCAGAATGATTTTGCTAGTATGTGATATTAGTGATACTGTTCGATAATTTCCACACATTGACAGGTACCTTTTTTTTTTGTAATGGGAATAAATATGGATCTCTTCCAATCATTGGCCAAGTAGGTGTCCTCCAGATTTCTTGGCACAACTTGGTGAGCACATGCAGGGCAGCATCTGTTTGCTGAAATACGTCAATTGGTATTCCATCAATTCTTTGGGCTTTATTTTTTGGCAAGTCCTTCAGAGCAGTCTGCACATTCTCCTTCATCACTATAGCCTCTTGCTCATATGTTGTTTCTTGAAATTCTTCTGTGTTAGCCAATTCTTTTCGATACAATGACTTTGTACACTCCTCCCATCTTCTTTTAATGTTTCCTGAATCATTCAATATTCTTCCTGTATAATCTTTAAGCATTGCAATTTGTGGCTTGAATTTGTTCTTTGTTCATTCAGCTTAAGAAATGCTGAGTGAATTTAGCCCTTTTGATTTTCCGACTCCATCTCCTTTCACATTTCATTATAATATTTTGCCTTTTCTTCCCAAGTTGCCCTCTGAAATCATCTATTCAGCTCTTTAACTTCTTGACTTCTTCCCTTTGCTTTGGCTTCTTGGTGCTCTAGTACAATATTCAGAGTCTCTTCTGACGTCCATTTTGATCTCTTCTTGTTCCTTCTTAGTAGTGACTTTTTGCATTCCTCATGAACAATATTCTTGATATCTTCCCACAGCTCATCTGGTCTTTGTTCATTAGTGTTCAAGGCCTCAAACCTATTCCTGAGTTGGTTTTTAAATTCATGGGCGACAGACTCAAGGTCAAATTTTGATTCATGTGGATATGATTTAAACTTCCTTAGCTTTAATTTGAACTTGCATATGAGTAGTTGATGGTCTGTTCCACAATCAGCACCTGGTCTAGTTTTCACTGCTGATAATGAACTTCTCCAACGATTCCTTCCACAGATGTAATTGATATGATTCCTGTTACACCAATTGTAGTTGTTGTTGTTAAGTGCCATTGAGTCATAGACAACTCATTGTAACTCCATGAACTAAAGAGGTGAACACTTGTAAAACTTACATCGTTTCTCCAAGTTCATAGCTTCCGGAGGCAAGCTATTGCGGAAATGGATGCTCCTCCCACTTCCAAGCTTCTTTTAATCAGGGAGCTCCACCAAACACTGTCCACCACAGTAGTCATTACAGAATTTGATAAATCAGTGTCCCAGTGTTTAGCATCCCAACATCCAAGAGTTACCTCTGTACAGGACGTGGACAGACCAGTGCTCTATCACTTAGAAGAATATTTGACCAAAAACAATTAAAACCAGGCCTGAGTGGTGCATATTAAAATCACCCACCTTTGACTTGGTAGCATAACTTTATATCCACCAGGCTCACAGACTTCTATGTTGTTTTTACTAAACTGAAATCTAAAGAGAGTGCATTTTTAAAGGAGAAATAACTGTGCTCCACATACATACTGAGCACAGATACATCTGCCCACAGGGAGCAGAAATTTAGTTAAATAACTAGGCATTCATGTGATTCTGGCCATGGTCTTTCTGATTATTTGTTATTCATCTGAGAGCTGGACAATGAATAAGGATGACAGAAAACGAATTGACACCTTTGAGCTATGGTGTTGGAAAAGAGCACTGAACATCCTATGGACAGCCAGAAGAATGGCTTGGCAGTCTGACTCTGGATTCACAGCCTTGGAAATGAGAGGGCTGTTCTATTCTCTTCTATAGGGTTCTTAGGAGATAGAATTAATTCAATGGCAGTGGTTGGGTTTGGTGGGGCAGGTGCAGGCCCAAGAGTCTATGTTTTAAACAGCCAATTCAGGAATTTTAAATGAGCAATGAAATTTGGAAGTCACTAACACCAAAAAGGGAGGCCTTACTCCCTTACTCCTCCAAACTCAGGGCCTCATGTGCAAACTGGACACAGTGATGAATGCCCCATGGACTGCCAAAAGAGCAAACAGATAGTTCTGGGAGAAAGTGCAGCCAGAATGCTCCTTGGAGGCAAGGATGACAAAGCTTCATCTCACATACGTTGGGTATGTTTCTAGGAGAGGTGATTCTTTGGAGAGGGACGTCATATTTGAAAGAAAGGAAGACCCTTGATGAAATGGATTGACAAAATGACTGCAGCAAAGGGCTCAAGTGTGTCAGAGATGGTGAGGATGGCACAGGATAGGATAAGGTTCAGATCTGTTGTTCAGAGGGTCGCTGTGAGTCGTACTTGATTCAATGGTACCTAACAATAATAACAACAGCATTCCACCAGTAGAGGCTGCTGGAAGATAAGACAGTTGCCTTCAAGCAGTCTTCGCCTTATAATGACCCCTAAGAACCCTATATGTACTAGAGGAGAAATGTGCTCCATAAGCTTTTCAGTGACTGATCTTTCAATAATATATTACCAGGCTTTCCCCACCCCACCCCCAGGAAGCTCTACATAGTCTAAAACCTCTAACTTTCTGTTCAGAAGCCAAGCATGTTAACCACTTAGATCACTCAGTGTCTCTGTCATGAGTATAAGTGGAAGCTTGTAAGGTGATCACAACAAGCAGGTGCTCAGATGAGGCCCATTTTGGGATCTCTTCCTCCTTGTTTACGAACCAAAGGAAAAATTAGGAAACACTGGATAATTACAAGGAATTACAAGGTTTTGAGTAATTCTTCCCTATGGAAGAATCTGAGTGCCTTTCTTTTTTGCCATTACAATGTTCTTCTAGTA